AAGAAAGGATTATATTGAGATGTGAACGAAAAGGCAGAGAAGAAACAAAAAGGAAAAATGAGAGAGACAAAAGCATCCATTTTAATTTATTTCATGATCTAATTATCATAAATTTATTTTTTACAGCTTCCAAAGTTTCGGATTGTTATCCAATGATTGATGTTAGCGAATCGAATATGGCTGCCAATCTAATTCGCTCCCGTGAAAGCCAAGAGACAAACGACCAAAAACAAGGAAAAATAGTTCAATAAAAACTAAAGCAAAACTATGAATTAAATGAAAGAATAAACAAAGGTGTTTTTCACAAGCGTGTAGAAAAAAAAATTGAAAAGCACCTAGCGTTTCACAACGAACTTTACGTTGCTGGCAAGAAATTCTGCTTTTAATCCATCGTCATAAACATACACGCACACATGCACACGCAAATTAACACATACAGAAGTACACATATCTATTTAATCAGTTAAGCACATTGTCTATACATAGTACCAGTTAGAAAAAGGCGATCTTATTTCGAATACTACTAATAATAAAGTAATTCGTTTCTACACTGTATGCCCTGAAATGGACAACATATATCATATTAAGATAAGCTAATACATTCAATGACTCCAGGTACTTTGTATCCACTTTACGCAGAATATTCGATAATATAGTGAGTTCTATCCTTCGTATCAGTTCCATTCTGGTCATTTTGAGACAAACTCATTTAAGTATCTCTCTTGTAGAATCAAAATCTACCAAATCTGAAAATGAATATTGCGGTAATTTTGTTACCAATAACTGAAGAGTCATTTTATTAATTGCCGAGCAAATGAAAATACACTATTGAAGTTGACCGTTCATAATCCAGAAGACTTGGTTTCATGCCTCCCCCAAGGTACAATATGAGCAATAATTTGCAAAACTAGTTTATTATCCGTTATTCTACGTTAGAGGTGTAAATAAATATTTTTAGAAAATAAGAATCTGTTTCTATATGTAGATTAAATTACTACTCATTGATTTAAGGCAGGTGTCATATCAGTAGACATTTATGTATATAAAATGCTTAACACATATACACCACAGACATCCAGTCTGAATATGTATATTTCAAACATACACCTCCATTTGTTGCTATAAATAAATTATACCCTCCAAAATATTTTTGCTTAGTTTTTAACGATATATATTAAATTGAAAACAAAGTTGCTGCAAAACTTTATACAATTTTTATTATAAGTTGTGTGAGAACTTTGTTTCCAACCCAATAGTTAAAAAGAAAAGTGCAAATTCTGATATTTATTTCTTTTCATCAATGACAATTGCAACAAGCACACTCAATAACAAGCTTCAATGCTGGATTCAAAATGACTGTTTCAGCTGATTGTACAGAGATTGACCAATCCCGTCCGAAATGTCTCCGGAATCTTTCAAACACATGAACAATAAAAAAAAAAAAAAGAAAAAAAAATGATTATTGTTATTTAAATTTAATTTCCCAACTCGTTGATTTGTCAGTGTAGAATTACTTCCTGTTTCAAACATTTTTCCGATGCTGCAATTTAAAAAAAAATGATGATTTTTCGGAAGTGAAATAATTTTTTCTCATCTTTTTAACTCAAATAATCAACGCCGACAAACATTTGCAATAGAAGAGGCAAACAGAAATTTTAAAAAATAATGACGATTGCGATGGCTTCTTTTTTTTTTTTTTTCAGAAATTACGAACGAGAAAAGATCAACAAGAAAAAGGAATTTTCTAAACATGACAGAAATAGACTAGCTTCTCAAACGAGGCTCACTGGTTTCTCTTCATCACAATCAGCATCAGTAACAATAATCGTTGTCTTTGGCGACAAAGAATGACTAAAATCTAATAAATCGTTCAGCAAACGTATAGATGTTTATACATTTCTCAAGTTGAATTTAGTTTTTCCGCCTTCTCATCACTCGACAGCAGACAAACAAGAAGCTAAATATTCCGCTTTGTTTAATCTGACACATCAACAGAGTGAGGATCGAATTCATTACATCATAAAATGCACTACCAATACTCTATGGTAAGTGGCCTCTGACATAGAAACAGATAGATATTAGAAAAGATGAAAATAACCCCAAGAAACTTCCGGCTTCGTTATTTGGTAAAAAAAAAAGGAAAAGACAGTCTTGTTAGTTTTTCAATATGCTTCAATTTAATTCGTAGTCAGAAAGGTTTTTGAAAGCGTAACGACAGGAATTCTAAATAAGTAAACGAAATACTAAAGAAAGTCAGCATCATAAAATTTAACAATATAAAATGTTTATGTTATCAAAATAGATTGAACTAGCACGGTAGGCGGAAAAAACGGATATTCCTTACACTGATACAGACATTTTCACTTTGTTTTTTTTGTTGGAAAATTTGTACCAGGATCTTTTTTTTTTCTGTCTAGTGTATGTATATATATATATATATATATATATATATATATATATATATATATATATATATATATATATATATATATATATATATGTGTGTGTGTGTGTGTGTATTTATATAGATACATGTGTGGATATATATATATATATATATATATATATATATATATATATATATATATATCAGAAAGATACGGCGATAGATAAATATAAAATATATTGTATATGTAGAGAGATATAATCATAGCGTGCATTGATTCAATCTGTTTATACCTATTAAAATATTATTGTATTTTTATTTCTCTCTTTCACACACACACACACACACACACACACACATATATATATATATATATATATATATATATATATATATATATATATATATATATATAATAAGAATAGCTGGCGGCTGGTATTCGAGGATACCGTCTACTAGGGTGGCTAGCCAATCCCTATTGCAGACTCTAGCTCAAGCATATTTGTATTTGTTCAACACCCACAGAATCAATCTGTGTTTTATGCTGCTAGTATGCTGTATAGACCTTAGTTAGATTTTCTAGGAAAGAGCGTGTTATCTAGCATGATCAACAAGCTGAACAACACCAGCGCACTCAAACCCTCGGTCACGATAACTTGTTACTTCGTGCTAGCACAGCAAGTGTCCCGTCTCTCCAATTTTACTCAGAGGGCTTTGGTCAATCCTCGTTATGATTTTCAGGCAAAGTGACACATGCTGGGATCGAGATCCAGACCGATAACGTCAGGAAGTCTCCTTTCTGACAAATGAAACGTGTTGAGATTCGAATTCGGGTCTGATGACACGTTCCCATATATATATATATATATATATATATATATATATATATGCATACATCCCCCCCAATATGTACTCACTTTTTGACTTTGTCATCAATTTGAACATTGATAAACGCATTTAATATTTAACTTAAACCGTAAATCAAAAGACATTACTATTTCTTAAGTTTAACTATTAATCATGTTTGTAAGTTATTTACAGCGTGAGGACATTTTTCGCGGAACCATATATATATATATATATATATATATATATATATATATATATATATATATATATATATATATATATATATATATATATAATATATATATATATATATATATATATATATATATAGTTATATATATATATATATATATATATATATATATAAAGGGTGTATTTATGGCTAAAAGTGATAAAGCGTATCAGAGATAAAGCGTATGTAAATATAAAAGTGGACACTGAGGTCAACACTGAGCGGTGATAGTTTCTGTCTCTCTGTCTCTCTTTTCTTTTCTCTCTCTTTCTCTCTATATATATATATATATATATATATATATATATATATATATATATATATTTATATATATCTCACTGTTGATACATAATAGAATGGTTACATAATATTTATGCGATAGCACCTTTAATACATTTAACATTTAGTAGTAAAAATCACATGGAATAAAAATGGCAATATCCATTGTATGTTATTTGGCGCCATTCTCCGTCAGCAGACTTAATTGCCAATGCACATTTCCTCTGAATTTTCGATCATTTGAAGCGAAAATGTCGACCTTCCATCAACACCAACGGTCACCTACTGATCAAAGTTAAGTTGGATTTCCTCTCAACAAAATACTAATATCGGTGACTGCTTCGTCTTTGAAAGACATACAGAGTTAATGAGCTGTTAGTCTGACTTTTAAGTTCTTTCTGTGTTTGGAAGAATTCGGCAGTCACTAATTACAGCAATCCTTTGATCTCTGTCTAATTATTGCACCAAGAGTTTATTTTAAGTAAGAGAAAAATTTGTTTTTATGTTTGAAACTAAGAAATGAAAGGGGATATTTTCTGAGATGAAACGTTCTCTGTGATATTTTTCAATATGAGAATTACAAATCTTTCGAATTGGTCAATGGCAAGCAAAATCGTTAACCCGAAAACAGAATATATTTTAGAAGTATATTACTGTAAAATATCTTGCATCTTTTCAGGGATCATTTGAGCATTCGACCGTCCGTTTTCGGCTGGACGCTGGGGCTTTATTTTCCATAACGTCTTCTAAGGATTCAATCTCGCATGCATAACCTAAGCTCTGTTTGATACAGAGATTTAATCTAGTTGACTCTTCAAATTGACAGAATTCTGTCTTGTTTAATATTTTGAGAAATGTTTCTGCAAACTTGATGTAACTTGACAACCTATCAAAGGGAACCTTAGTGCGCATGCATGAACAAACATTCTCACGTGGGTTTATTCAGTCAGCAAAGAGATGTTATTCAGTGAATTTATGTACTATGTAATCCTTGCATTTCTTTTGGCAAACATCGTATCAAACCCGTGAATTTTCCTTTTTTAAAGCAAAGGAAAGAGAATTGAAATTGTGGATAATATTAAAATTAAGGAGAATGCAATGAAGCGATCCCAAAAAAAGAATTGGAAAGTGAAAGAGACGCTGTGAGGACTAAAGACGATTAAAGCGCTATTCTCCGAAGTCGGTTATTTTTTCGTTTTCAGATCTATGTTTATTTTAGAGTTTGAAGGTGTTCGGTAGAGAACTGAATAACGATCAAGACTGATATCGTTTTCTAATAGTGTGTGTGTGTAAGCATGCAATAGAGAGATAAAGAGAGAGAGAGGGGGGAGGAGAGAGAGGGAGAGAGAGAGAGAGGGAGGGGGAGAGAGGGGGGAGAGGGGGAGGAGAGAGAGAGGGGGGAGAGAGAGGGAGAGAGAGAGAGAGGGAGAGAGAGAAAAAGAAAAACATCGAAAGACTGTGAGAGGTATCATTTGAATCATGTTGATTTTACAAGTTTGTAAAATCAACAGCTGTTCAAGTACCAAAATATATTGTCAATTTTAGAAAGTTTTGCAAGTTGTAATGAAAAATCATGTGTAAAATTTCCGACTTTTGTAAAAGAAAACCAATATTGTCTGAATTAAAAATCGACACCTTTTCTCCTACTTCATAGATACCAAGTACGCTTGATTAAAGACATTTTAATCAGTCTCGTGGCTTGATTGCTAGTCTATCCTATTGCCTTAAAATAATACAAATTCGATATTGCTATGGAAACGACAATAAAATTATCGAGAAACTATTACCCTTTTTGTAAAGCATGTAGATGCTTGATAATGAAAATGAATATCAAGTTTTGACATACTTTGTAAGCTAAGCTTTATCTGAATGCAAAAGGTGAGAAAATAATTATAAAGGTCATACAGCTTTATGACAATCACAAAACCGTACTAATTGATGAGATTATTCAGTATAGGAACAAGGTAAATTTAATGGCGGCACTAATTGTTTACTTTTGTGTCTGTACAAAGATATAATTAGACAGAAATTCAAGTTTATCTTTCAAATGATAGGTGAGGCTGCAGAAGGGGGCCTATTGATAATCACATTTCTGAATACCCGTTGGTGAGGAACCCTCACTTCACCCGCAACACACGGACACAAATCTCCACTTACCTGTCCCTACTCTGCGTCTCGCAAAGATATTTTTTGGTGAAACATATTTTAGTTATATATATATATATATATATATATATATATATAAAGTATGTCAAAATTCCTTGAAAAATTCACTCCTACCATCCCGAGACTTAACCACTTTTTCGAACGTAACTCAAAATTGATACAATAATAGTTAATAAAAATGAACACGCTACCGCCCCGGTCTAAATGATTGGATTTCTCTGTATCCTTGGAAACAAAAAAATTATGAATTGTATGTGCTTTTAAAACTCAGTAAATTTAAAAATAAGTTATTCCAAAATTCGCTTGAAGATGAAACAGGACTAATGATTTTAATTCAATTATTTAATTAAATTTGAAGTTTTTAGCTTCTTTTTTGAAACATGGTAATTCCTGTGTAGCTAAGTAACCATATTTTAAATCTGTTAATTTATAATATTTATGCTCTGTAGATTTACATTAAGCACTGTTTTGTAAATATATATATATATATATATACCAATAAGAACACCGGATTATATATCTTACTGTTCTTTCTTTTATTATTATATATATATATATATATATATATATATATATATATATATATATATATATATATATATATAATTCTTATGCCTTATGTTTTATGTTGATTGTATCTCCAACAAATAAAATTAAATTCTTAATGATCAATATATAGATCAACATATCAGAAATAACCAAAATAATATTAACATAAGACAAATTTGTATCACAGTTACCCTATCTCTTTCTGTTTCTCTCTCTCTTTCCACACACACACACACACACACACACACACACACACACACACATACACACACACACATATATATATATATATGTGAAAATATATAGAAAATAGGAAGGAACTGGTTAGGTAAATAATCCAAAGTCCCTTAGTATTTTAGTTATTATTTTTAAAAAATAGTTCTCGATACAAAAGTAGAGCATAAATATAATTTATTATTTAAAAATATGATTCCAAATCGCGACATAAGAAGTCCCATGTTTCAAAACAAGAGCCGAAAACTTCAATATAATTATTTAAATTAAATTGAGTTAAAATAAGCTCTGTTCCATCTTCAAGCGAAATTTTTTTGGAATAACGTGTTTCTGAAATTTACGTGTTTTAAAAATTGAAATCAAAATTTCCATGGTAACAGCTAGGGCGAATTGTTTAAGTTGGGTAAGCGGGTGTTGGGTGTTAATAATAAGTATCAGTATAGAGTTACTTTCGTAGATGTCAAGTCAGGGAAAGGTTGGGGTGTCTAAATTTGAAACGGAAGATGTATCAACCCTCGTCTAGTTTGCATGTTTATGGAGATTTATTTATTTTTTATTTTATTTTTATGAAAGGATTTGTGCATATAAAAACCTGTCGTAACGTTTGTTTTTTGACGACTTCATAAAGGGTTATCTTTTTTTTTTTTTAGGTATTTAAACTATTTATTTGGGCTATGGATTATGAAGGGTGTTATATTGTATGCATGTTTCTAGTTAATTATTCAAACCATGAATCTGATGAGTGGGCTATGGATTAAACAAGTTATTATATTGTACGCTAGTTTTTAGCTAATAATTCAAACCAAAAATCTGATGATGCCTAAAAAAACCGTTAACTCGTGTCTATTGTTTAATAGATTATTATTATTTAGAAGCTTAATTATGTGCAATTTCTCATGGAGGCATAAAGGCCATGCGTCATCCCAAGTTTTACATGTTCTAGCCTTGTTTATAATTTTCCATGTAAACATGTAAAATAATAATACAATATAATAACTTGTTTAATCCATAGCCCACTCATCAGATTCATGGTTTGAATAATTGACTAGAAACATGCATACAATATAACACCCTTCATAATCCATAGCCCAAATAAATAGTTTAAATACCCTAAAAAAAAAAAGATAACCCTTTATGAAGTCGTCAAAAAACAAACGTTACGACAGTTTTTTTTATATGCACAAATCCCTTTCATAAAAAATAAAATAAAAAAATAAATAAATCTCCATAAACATGCAAACTAGACGAGGGTTGATACATCTTCCGTTTCAAATTTAGACACCCCAACCTTTCCCTGACTTGACATCTACGAAAGTAACTCTATACTGATACTTATTATTAACACCAACACCTGCTTACCCAACTTAAACAATTCGCCCTAGCTGTTACCATGGAAATTTTGATTTCAATTTTAAAACACGTAAATTTCAGAAACACGTTATTCCAAAAAAAATTTCGCTTGAAGATGGAACAGAGCTTATTTTAACTCAATTTAATTTAAATAATTATATTGAAGTTTTCGGCTCTTGTTTTGAAACATGGGACTTCTTATGTCGCGATTTGGAATCATATTTTTAAATAAATATATATATATATATATATATATATATATATATATATATATATATATATATATAGTGATTTCCTAAGCGTAGCTTAGATGTGGCATAAGGTCGAAAGTATGTGGTACCCAGTGAGGATCGAACTCACAACTCAGTCGTAATTGTTCATAGCGAGACAAGCTTGCTAACTATTACACCGCCTCGAGGTGGCCACACACACACACACACACACACACACACACACACAGACACACAAATACACACACACACACACACAGACACACAAATACACACACACACACACACAAATTGAGAGAGAGTGAAAGAGAATTAATGTGGAGAAATTTGTCACTTATTTGGTGTTATTTTTGTCATGTCGACTTCACTCGATTCAGGGCTATTGTCTTCTCTCATGTGACTTCTAAATATTTTCATATTCATATAAAGTTTGGTGTGATTTTATAGCTTTGTGTGAGTGTGTGATTTTTCTTTTCACTTAATATGTTTTGTGTTATCCGTATCTTGGTGATTGTTTGCTTCGTATTATGCAGAACACTTTTTTGACCGTATACGCTTAATTGCTTTTTGAAGGATTCACCTCTTTTTTATCTATTGAGCTAACCTCTTTTACCGTGTCAATGTATTTTGATTTTTTACGGCGTGTTTAGGTGTGTGTGCTTGTGGTGTGTGTGTGTGTGCTTAGATGCTTGTGTTTGTGTGTGAGTATTTGTGTTTATGTATGTGTGTATGCTGTTTCTTGTTAATATTTGCTGGTATTTGTCTGTATGTCTATTCCTTTGTCGGCTTTGTGTGTGGATTTCTTTTTTTGTGGATCTTGTCTTACTAATTTTCTTGCTTCTTTTGTCATCTGGTAAAGGATTCTGCATATGATACTCTTGTAAAACATAAGTCCACTTCCCCTTATTTCCTTCTAAGTCGTTTTGGTTGACTCTTTCCATAAAGGACCGTTACCCAATCATCAGATCCATCACATGCAGATCAACATTAAATTAAATTTTCAAACGCTTCTTCACCCAAACTACATTTAGTTTTTAAGATGTTTTTTGAGGTAGTTGTGTAGTTGCTTTCATTTTTTTCGACAATGTTTTTAATATTCTGCCTTTTTCTTTCTGTTTACATTTACAACAGCAGCTTATGTAAATATTTTCTTTTCTATTGTCATTTACATTTTTAAAAATATTTTTTTCCTTATTCTTATCTTGACAATATTTTCAATTTTTTGCTGTTATCTATTAAACATTTTCTTCATTTCCGATGTTTTTATGACTCGTGCCAATATATATATATATATATATATGTGTGTGTGTGTGTGTGTGTGTGTGTGTGTGTGTGTGTGTGTGTATGTTGTGTGTGTGTGTGTATTCGGCACGTTTGGGCAGCAAACTTTCATTTATGCGCGTTTCGTGAAGACTAATAAAAATTCTTTGCGTAAGATGTTTTTCTAATTTTTTTCAACGGTTCGAAAAATTTTTTGGTTACCGAGGAGAATTTGAACATAAATCTTTTTAAGTCGTTTGACCATTTTTCCCTTTCACAAACCATTTTTCAAGAGTTTGATATTCCTGCGGATAGAGTTTTATCTATCTCTTTTTCTTCCCTAGTTTTCGTGTGTTGGTGGGTATCGTCGAAAAAATTCACAAACCTAAGACAAATAACGTCATAGTTTTCCTCGCTTATTGACTACATTCTCAGGACAATCAACCAAATGATTAAACAATACCTACGTTATAAATACAGCATAAACTCAACATATGATTTATTCCATATTCAAAAATGTAATAGACTAAAAACTAAAATTCACCAATAGATCTGTCCGTGATGAAATAGACATTATAATTCAGAACTTCTATCAACCTCTATCAATTTCACCTCCAAAAATATAACCAACAATTCTCAAAAATCTATCAATGATCTGCATCACACATCCATATTTAGGAAATATCTATGCCCAAATTTAGGAAATATCTATGCCCAAATTTAGGAAATATCTATGCCCAAACAGTTCATTTATCATTGTTCTAACACTGTCAGAATTCTACCTGTCTGTCTTCTTTTTTCCTTTTGAAAATCGTTTCCCTTTCCTGACGTGGGTCATGATCATAGATCTCCAGAACTTCTTGTTCTTTTAGTTCTAAGTAGGGCTTGTCTTTTTGCTATCTCATGTCAACCATTTACACAAGATCGCTAGTTATATTATTCGCTGCTTTCCTTTGTCTTTCTTAACTTTAAAATATCCTGTGAGTATCAAACTATCCAAGCTCTCTTTCTTCATTATGTGTCCGATAAATTTCAATTGTCTCTTTCCGATTCGAAGTATGTGTCCTTTTTGTCTTCATTTCCCCTAAAACCTTATCGATACTCACATGTACAATCTATGGCATTCTCAGCATCCTTCTGTAGATCCACATTTTTTAGTCTCAAGTTACTTCTTCTTTTGTGAAGTGATTGACCAGAATAGGAAAACCGATATCACGTAACAGTTTAGTTCTCTTTTTTTTTGTTTCTAACAAAATTTTCTTATTTCTTAATACTTTGCTTAGCTTTTGGAAAGTCTCTTTCGCTATTCCAATGCATCTTCAGATATTGGAGTCGCATTTTCCGTCCTCTGCTGAAAATACTTAGTAGATATTTACATTTTTGTACTTGCTTGATTTTGGTGTCTCCAATTCGTAGTAAAGATCTTGTGTTATTCCTTTTGCTGACAACCGCACATTTTGTCCACTTACAATTTATGTTTAGTATTTCTTCTCGCCTTCTTTTGCTAATTTCTACTGGAATTTGTGGAGTTTATTGTGTCTGCTATCAACACTATGACATCTTACTTAATAATTTATGTTGTTAAGACAGTGGCCACTGAAGACTAAATTAAAAAATACCTCAAAGCAATAATTTACCCGTGACACGTCAGCGATATATTTATATTAACTAAAAATATGAACGAAGACAAATTCGGTGAACAACGTTCGAAAATAACTCATTTCTTAACTTCACATATGAAGTCAACGTCAATAATACAATCAATATAAGCAGTAAAAACGTCTGCAACTATTAGCAACATATTTCTGTATTTACTATTTATATTCTAGCAAACATAAGAAATATATATCCCAGCTAATTACACGTATTAACTTATTCAAATAATGATAATTTTGCTTTTAAAGAACAATAACCACGAACTAGATGAGAAAACTTGCCCATCAATACATATCGCCTATCGATAAAAACGAATAAATTGAACTCATCACTTATTACAATTCTTACATGATCACCAACAAGAGTATACCGAAAAATCCAAAGCCCAACAAACTAGTGTTGTCTTGGATTCACTTGCCCACTTGGAGAATATTTCTGGTATAATAATAATTCAAACAATACATACATTGGTTACAACTCTCACCACCTTATCTCTCTGGTTAACTTGCGACAATAGCTCAATGAAATCACATGCCAAAATCTAAACACAAGAAAACAGGGAAATTTTTATGAAGAAATATTATACGATATAAGCAGTAAAAACGTCTGCAACTATTAGCAACATATTTCTGTATTTACTATTTATATTCTAGCAATAAAAACAAACAACACGACACGAATAAAAATGTCATTCAATCTTGGAACAAACATAAGAAATATATATCCCAGCTAATTACATAATCACAAAATAAAAACAAAACACAAAGCACACGATAGCACAAACTGACGCATAAATACACAATACTTAAAAAATAAATAGATAAATAACAACGCGGCACAATCGAAACGTAAAGACAGACGAACACAAAAAAGAAAACACAAGCGTGCAAAGAACTCGAATAAAAACAAAATAAAGCTTTTTAATTGGACAATTAATGTTAAATGTTTCCCAGGAAATCAGAAAATGGTTCAAAATGTAGAAAAATTAAATAAAAATTTTAAACAAGGAACAAAGAACTGAGAGAGAGAGAGAGAGAGAGAGAGAGAGAGAGAGAGAGAGAGAGAGAGAGAGAGATAGATAGATAGATAGATAGATAGATAGATAGATAGAAAACTAGTGTAACAAAAGAAGTAAGTGAAAGTGAATGCAGACAACAGTGTTGTCCTAAAACCTTAAACTATGTGTACTGTAGCAACCTTTTTCGCAGCTGTTTAGTTTTCTTGTATTATTTGCCTCCATCGCGTCGGTTAAAGATGAAAGAAAAGAAGAAAAAAAACACTCAAGAAGATGAAAGAAAATGCGAATGTAAGGAATTTTTCTGACGAATAATTTATTGCGTCATTTTCACTGTCGAAAAACATTCCGGTCAGTCAGAGTTTTATGAACCCATTCAGAGGGTAAATGTCTGAGAAAACTTCCCATAATCTAAAGAATAACAGCACCCCCCCCACATACACACTCACACGTACATATACATGCACGCACGAACGCATAAAAAGAATAAAGTGAGAATTCAGATACAATTATTTTGACATAATATACTATAAAAAAGATGTAAATATATTGTTTAACGAGACACACACACACACACACACACACACACACACACACACACACACACACACACACACACACACATATATATATATATATATATATATATACATACATACATATATATATATATATATATATATAGATAGATAGATAGACCAACAGATTAGTATGACTTCTTAGTTGGGTGTGGATTTTTATTTGAAAAGACAACAGAACTGTACATTTACAGAATATAGTTTTCTTTTAGAATAGCGGTCCTACAAGGGATCGTCATACGTCGTACTTTTCCAGAATGAAATATTAATTTTTGGACCTACTCTACATCATTTAATCAATAAAACCATCAGTAAATATCGCCACTCATTACTTCTTATTAGTGTCGACTTCTGAGGCCATTCTTATGGCCATTTCAGGTTGAAACACGGATTCTCGTACGATCAACGTTGAGCAACGTCGAGCCTGGTCAGTGCCTACATGAGTAACCGCTTGGGAATACCAAGTACTAAAAGCTTGATTGTAGGTGTGATGTAATGAATAACGGCTCAGAATTGGTAAGTGGAGAATCGATTTCCAATTCTAGTCGGGTTCCTTATATTCTTATACGCGCAAATCCACTTGGGAAATCTAATCCGCAAAAGGTTGGTAAGCCGTAAAAAAGAAATCAATCAATCAATGAAGAGACTTAAAATTTGGAAATCTAGTCATAATAAATGTTCAATAAAACAATATCTCCTTTTACAAATGAATTGTTTGGTGCCATAAAAATGTTTGAACAGCATCAGTTGTTTTAGCATCGACTATATTTGTTATCAAAATAGTATAATCTGGTTACCAAAAGTATATATCAGATGTGAATTTGGCAAAAGTAACTGATCGAATTTAAAGCAAATTTTTCATACATAGAAACAGATTCTACGAGACAATTGCATCAGAAATATTTTCGTGGTAACGTTAATAAAAACGTTAATAAAACAAAAATACCAATAATTCAAACGTCGCTATGGTTTTAATTGGTAATGTGTTAGTAGAAGTGATCTTATATAAGATGCAAAACAACTAATATTCAACGATTGTTCACAAGATAGTTATAGAGATCAATTTGTTTGTGCAGTGAAACTGGTCTGCATTAAACACCCAACTATTGAGGCCTTGTGCAAGAATGAGCAAAACTTATATATGTGTGTTTGTATACAGATATTATTATTTAAATGGATAAAATAGTTATAACAAAAATTGATAAAATGTCCTTAGAATTCACAAATTATTGATTTCTGTATTGATTTCTTTTTGGGCAAGATGTTATATTGAATGTATAGTTGGGCCCATTGGCGTTTAAAAATCACCATTCGGATTCCAGATTTTGGTATGGCATTGAACACCAACAATAAATGAAATGGGCAACATGCAACTTCTTTTGCCACCGTGTAAACATATGTAAACTTGTACACTTTTATTATATTGATAATTGCTACATATTTAGAGCGCCCAGTGAAAAGCTAACCCGCTAGATATATTAAGTAGCTAAACATTGTTCCTTAGCGAGTTGTCTAAGCTTAGCTTAAACCAGAAATTAAAACAAAACATATGCCGAACACAGTGATGATCAAATTCACTACTGCTTCCACTGAGGGCTCACGTTCTCTGCTGATATGAAGCAGTCGGTTCACAAAATCTATCTTACATATCTATAGGTCTACCATTCGTCCACGCTTAGAATAATGCTGCCACATATGGTCCGATGCCCCTGCTATTTACCTTGAGCTCCTTGATAAGATCCAAAGAAGAATATACAATATTATTGGCCCTGATTTGACGGTTCAGCTCCAGTCACTTTCCCAGTTGTCGCTTGTTGAACTCCTTTCCGGCCCCATGCTTTCTAGCCAGCTTTAATCTGCAAAAATTTAAATGCAATGTCAATCGCTATTCACTACCCACCTGATTACTATCTTCTCTTTCTCCTCGTCATTAATGTTTCTGTTCCTAACTCTTTCACACCCTCTAACCCCTTGTGTTTTAGTGGCATCACTGCCTTGCTTAGGGTGATTCCGATAAAAAAATAGTTTGGCAAGACTCACTTGTTGCTAATGAGCCCATGGCGACATCCGCCAAGATCTAAGATTGTCATCGTCATATGGGCAAAACCAGTAATAATCGAGCTTAGTATAGGAATAACAATCGTCAAAACTAGCATCACCACCGCACACAAGGAGAGAGTGAAAAAGTAAAGAGAATATTTGAGATACGCAAAATATCATCAGGGGAAACGGGGCAAGTATCTGAAAAGAAAAATAGAGATAAAGTGAAGGAAATGTGAAAGTGATAGAATCAAAGTTGTTTCTGTCAGGATAGGGATAGATTTCTACCTTTCTGTTCAAATATACCTTTTATTGCATTCCGACAAGGAGGCGTCGATGCAGACGATTGACTTGAACGATAAAATAATTAGGTTCGCGTCAAGGAAAAAAACATCACGTGACTCTTTCCGCTTCCGGTGTGCGTTTGCAAAGGAGTATATTTGGTAAACATGGCGGAAATAGGTTTGTTTATATCGGGTGTTTTCTGGATCGTTCTTTGATTTCCTGTTATACAGTTTTTTAATTATCAGTCTTTTATTTTTAATCTTTTTGTTTTGAACGTTTTTATCGACCACTCTGCGTATGTTGCATTGTTATGGAATATAAAAGCTAAACATTTTATACATATATTTTCATGTATTTTTTATGGAAATTTGGTGTATATATTCGTAGTTTTTTTTTTTTTTTATCCACATAACTTTTGTACTATACTGTTGTGACAATATATATATATATATATATATATATATATATATATATATATATATATATATATATATATAAACGTGAACAGAGGCGACAGACTGTTTTATCCTACACGCAATCGTCAGGCCGGGAATGTTGGATTTTCCGTCGACTATTTATATATATAGGTCATTGTGGGTAATCTATTCTGGCGAACATTTTTGCGGGAGTGGCTTGTTTGTTTATTTATTTATTTGTTTGGGTTAATTTCTTTTACTTGTTTTACATTTTCATTTTGTATTGTTTTCGGTTTTTGATGTTTTATTAACGTAGTAAAAATGGGTGATATGCTTAGGTCGCTTATTTAATAGTTTGTTTTGGTCTGGGAAGATAATTAAAGCTATTTATTCGTCCAATGTTTAGATTGCTTGTCGTAGTCTATTTTGTTATTTTGGCCGGGGGACACTTTTGAATTAATTTATTTATTTGGATTGATTATTTTTACTTGTTTATTTATTCTTATTTTTATTAGTTCTAACGGCTATTTTAGCAGGGGCGATTTGTTAATTTGTTCATTTATTTATTTATTTGGATTAATTTTTATTTGTTTTTATTTATTTACTTATATTTATTTATTCTATTTAGTTTTCGTTTTTTGATTTTATATTTTTTATATTTCTTCATATCTTCTTCATATATATATATATATATATATATATATATATATATATATATATATATATATATATACTAGCTTATTTTTTATCAGAGCACATTCTATACAAAGACATAATATAAGTAAATGGACACTGTTCTAATATTATTTTTTTAAAAGATGTATTTTTTATTTATTGAAAATTACTCAATTTATTAGAAAATATCCCTTTCCAATAACTGCTACTTCAGGAACACCATGACTAGATTACGAAGAATAGGACCTTATCGCTGGTTTAATTTAAATAGCGTAGAAATTGGAAATTCTACTTTCACCTGTGAATCACCCGAAGGAAAATAAAACACTGTAAGCAAACTGAAGAGTTATCGACCACATCAAGAAAAAATTTTTTAAAAAATTCTGATGATTTAATCTACCTCTATGCAAAGTATCGGGCCGAAAACCTTTCAGAACCCTGAGTATTTGCAACTATCTAAAAATAAACAAAATGTTACCTTTGCATTCTTACAGTTTTTGTTTGTTTTATGCTCTTTTTTCATCCTTCACTTTTCATGCATATGGCAATCGTCGGGCACAAATATCACCACTACCCACTGTGCAATATATATATATATATATATATATATATATATATATGAATTACATAAAAATGAAACCTTATTACCCCATTTAAGCAATAGTACAGGTAAAAATCCGTGGGTAAGTAAGATGAATGGGATAATAGAGATTCAGTTTATGTATGCTCAATAATAAATATATTGAGCTCTTCTTTGTGAATCAGTTTTAATATTTTACATTATTAGAACCTACTTGGATTACTTATTCACGGAGTTTTATCTATCTATCTATCTATCTATCATGTAAAATTTGTAGTGGAGCTTTTTTCCGATATTATTTCTTATTATAAGCGTTAGTAAGTACCCTGTTTTTATATTTTTCTTAAAGAGTGAAATATTAACAACTGGCTTAGATCAAGAAGGCCTACTAAAAAAAAAAAATTCTTCCTACCGACAGGAATCGAACCTGCAACCGTTTTTCTGCCTGGAAAACCACTCCTATCGTTAAAGCGTGCCGTTACCAATTTATATAAAGGCAGTATATAAATCTATTTAAAATGAAAGGAGCCGATATAGATTCGTAGATGTCTCAACGAAAAATGTGTGCCCTTTAAATAGGCGATTTGAATGTTCTTTTACAATTTGTTTAGCTGTTGTCAAATCAGTAATTATGCTAAAGGAGCAGTTTTCTTAATAGTAAAACAGATATTGGTTCGATTCCTGTCTGGAGTAAAAATTTGTTTTTAGCAAGACTTCTTA